AGTCAGGTTATATGGGATACCCGTATCTATAGTATCCGATAGGACCCCTGGTTTACAACATATTTTTGGGAGAGCTCTAACGGTCTATGGGGACACAGTTGATGATGAGCTTAGCTTTTCAACCCCAAACGGACGGTCAATCAAAGAGAACCATTTAGATTTTGGAAGACATGCTTCAGGCATGCGTCCTTGACCTCAAGGATAATTGGGAAGAGCACGTACCCTTAATGGAGTTCACCAACAACAATAGTTATCAGACGAGCATACATATGACACCCTACAAAGAACTTTATGGGAGGCCACGTTGTTCTTCGGTTTGTTAGACGAAGGTTGGAGAAAGACCCTTTCACGAGTCCAAATTTGATCAGAAACACTTCAGAGAAGGTGGACTTAATACAAAAATGTCTTCTCACGGCTCAAAGCCGCCAGAAGAGCTACCCCGACACGCGATAGCGATTTTTGGAGATCAAGATTAGAGATCACATCTTCTTAAAAATGATGCCTAAGAGGGGAGTGTTCAGGTTTACGAAGTGAGAGAAGCTGTCACCGAGGTATATCGGGCCCTTCAAAGTACTCAAGAGGGTTGGCACAGTCACTTACCGATTGGCTTTATCGCTAAATTTATCTGGTGTTCCATGTTTTCATGCTCCAGAAGTACATTTTAGATCCTATGCATGTGGTTGTATGTGCATGTGTGTGTAAATTTGGAGGACGAAATTTCTTTAAGGGGGAAGAATGCAAAACCCGAAAAAATTTAAAATTTTTTTTGAAAAAAAAATGGTATTTAACCATTACAGTACAGGTTGAAAACCCAAATTTTTTTTAGAACTCGAATGAAAAAACAGACCTCACCGTTGGATTTGTCTCATGAAATATAGTTACTCATTCAATTTTTGTTAAATTTTGAGATAGTCAAATTTTTTCACATTTTACGATACGATTAGATGTCGCGCGACTAAAATAAATGTGATCAAAATTTATTCATGGAATATAGGAAATAATTTTATGTTAGTTGAAATAAAATATGTTGAACATAACATGAAAAAAATTTTAATTGATTCAGGATTAAATTGGACCAAACAAAAGAGGCGCGCATGGCGTTGTGGGCCCAGTAGATGGGGAGTATAAAAGGGGAAGAAAATCTAATTTTCTTCCCCATTCTTCGGGCCATTTTGGATAGAGAGAGAGAGAGGGAGAAATAGAGAGAGGGAGAGAGAGAAAGACAAGGGTTCTCCAAGCTTTCTCCTTGCGATTTGCGACTATCTGTTTGTCGAATTGCTTCGAGCCAAGAACAAAAAGTGTTCTATGTGATGAGAGCTAAAAACATGTACAAAAAATCATGGGTTTTGCTAAAGTCTCAAGACCAATATTTTTGGGATTCAGGTTTTGAAGCTTAAGTTGGGTGATTTGGGACTCCTTCTACGTGTATTAAGCTTCAAGAGGTAGGGTTCTTTTTCTAACTAGGTTTTTTTCAACCTAGGGTTGCATGTGGAATGGGAAGCATGATTAAAGATGAAATCTCTTATCAAAATATACTCCTAGTATAACTAGAGTATAGGAAATGAGTATAGAAACATGTTGAACCAATCTTGTATTAATTGTGTTTGTTGAAATTGTTTGTTTATAATTTCTTGAGATATGTGATGAATGAGACATGCTTTGTGTTTACATTTCATGCCTTGATGGTTTTGGATAAAATGCATATGTTGAGTAAGTGTGTTAATTGCATTGAAAATATTATAACATGCTTTGGGTGAGGTTGCGAATTGTGATTACATGCTTATGATGTAATGACAATTGGGAAACGTTGGTTGAGATGTAATATGTTCATTATATGCTCATGATATGAGGAACATGATATTTAGAATTGCAATTGTGAATTACAATTACTTATTCACGGGTAGCATTGCATTCGTGGGCATTCAACATGAGTATGGATGCGTGTGTGCATGTTTTTTGATCAATCACAACATAGGTGGGTTGATTCGTGAGCTCAGGAAAGTCGCACCAAGGTCCTGCTGAATTGCACAAGAAATTGAATGAATAAACGTGTTAGGGTGTACTAAGAATGGGCTACAAGACCCAGTTACTTGGTTATACATTTCCCGACGATAAAATTCTAGAAAAGTGTAATGGCGAAGACGGAGCCGCAGGTGAATGTCCTGAAAATCCGTTGATGGTGTGGTGTCCCATTGGTGACATACCATAAACCATCGCCCCACAAAGACACAAGATTTTTATAAAATGGTCATTGAGTGTACATAACTTCAATGAAGGGGGGTTTGGAATGTCCGGATGCATACACATGGCATTGCACGTGTTATGGGAGCCGATAGAGGGCTCGGATAACATTGCATGTGTGAGTCTCACCTCATAACATGGCATGACATTGTGGCATTCATTATTGAATTGTATATTCTTGAACGAATGTTTGATTGTTATGTTGCATGCAAACATTTCATATGCATCTGGGTTGGAGAGTAGCCTCTTTAGGAGATTCCCTATTGAGTGTGGCTCACCCTTTATGGGAACAACATTTCATGTGCGGGACAAGCGCCTGCAGACGGCCCGCACTTGGGCCCTTATTGACGAAGAAGCTAAGATGTGACTTTGAATTACATATTATAACTAAATTATGTAATTCATTTTGAACTTGTAGAATTATATTAATGGGTCATGTAATGAACTTTTATGGATTAGAATTTGTGTATAAGAATATATGTATGACTATGAAATGAGTTTGGTTGGACAAAGGTAGAGATTGGAATGAATTGGGAAAAATCTGGGCCCATGTACCGGTACCTAAGTGATTAAGTACCAGCACCACACTGTTGGGAGGCCAAGGTACCAGTACCTTGACATAGGGGTACCAGTACTTAGATTCCAATGGGCTCAGATGTCGGTACCAAGGCTTCAAGTATCAGTACTTCGATGTACAGTGGGCTCAGGTACCAGTACTACAACATGTAGGTACCAGTACCTAACAACCAGTGGGCTCAGGTATCAGTACCTCGTCACCTAAGTACTAGTAACTGGCAACTGGAATGAATCTGAGAAATAAAGGTCCAAATACCGGTACCCCGTTACTCAGGTACCAATACTTGTCAAACAAAAGGCTCAGTTACCGATACCACGTGTAAGAGGTACTGGCACCTCTTTCAAACTTTTCAAAAAAAATTTAAATATAACTTGTCAAGCCTTTGCATCTTGAGCCTTCTTGCTTAAAAGATATAATTGGTTCAATATCAAGTGTAAATTGATGGGGATTGGACCTTGAAATGATCAATTGATTGATATGTGCACAGGTTATGCGTTTGAGAGTGCTCTGATATAAGAGAGACTACCCAAACTCTATATCGGTTATTATCCCGATGAAAGAGATATAATGATGTGGTGTCGAGTTATACGGCATTAATAGGTACTTCTACAAGTTGATGAGCGATCAACGGATTGAGAAATGACCCCGGGATTTGGGACGTCACAATAGATATACTGATCAACATAAAAAAGGTTCATTGATATAATATCAAACAATATGGTGTGATTTCATAATAGTTGGTCTGCCATAAAGATTCTTAAGTATTTTAATCTACCTCTTGTTCAGTGGTTGCGTCAATATACAAGTAAATCCTCTAGAAAATTAGTTTATTGTGTTTATGAAACAAATAGATTAAAAAAATTTATAGGTTAATATGTTGTAGTACCAACCACTCGGCAAGTTCTACCTGCAAAATGGAAACCTTTAGATTTTGTCAACCAAAGCAAAACAATGTTAACTTAATTCAAAAAATTTAGAGCATTTGCAAATTCCACCGATACTATTGAAGTCCCGAAAATAAACTTATTAGCGACAGAATAAGCGAATTGTCTTATACACACAAGGGCGCCACATGCGTCCAATTATCTATTGGTAGCACTATCATTTCGATCGGCATTAACATTGCTCTAATTCTGGTCATACAATAAGCTTTGAAAGGTGACAGGCATTAAAACATATTTGAATATTCAGTTCCAGCCAGCAAGCAAGCAAGAGCATTACTTCATGAGAAAAAATAGCAAAATTTTCAAGGTCACTAAATCTACAAAATTGAACAGTATCACCACCTTGAATGGAATTAAGTCTTGCAACAACACGCTGCATTCTATTTGACTAAGAGAACCGCAAATCTCTTCCCTAAATATCCTAGTAGGTTGACGTTGAAAAGCAACAGTCGCCTGCAAGTGCTAATGTGTCAATGTGCCCCCCAAAGCTCCCTGCCATCAACAATACACTCCCAAAAAAAAAAGAGAGATTTAAGCTTCGATACCAACAAAAAAAATACATTTAAGCTACGATGAGTTTTGATGGACAAAATACATATGTTTATCACCCCCAAAAAAAAGGCTCAAGGCCACCAGAATCAAAATGTAATGTATAGAAAAAATTCATGAGAAATTTACCAAAAATAAAAGAAAAAATCCATGGGAAAAATACAGACAGCCACGAAGATTATTTCAATCATGACATAGTACAGTGCTACAATATTCCCTGCTATAAACAAATTCCACAATCACAAATCATGAACACATACATAGTCACTATACGTTGATACTAAAAAATTAATAAGATATTTACCAAAAAAGAATAGAAAAAATCTATGGGAAAAATCAGAGCCACAAAGATCATTTCTATCATAACATAGTAAAAAATAAAAAGCAAATAAGTGCTATAATATTCTTGCTATAGACAAATTCCACAAACACATCAGGAAAACATATATAGTCACTATATGCTGATACCACAGATAATCCTCACAAATTTATATTAAACAAGAGCAAACATTAGTTGAGAAAAAAATGTATGTTCACCAAGTGCATATGAGAACCAACCAAGGAACTGGACAAGGAGGTGCAATTGATGGTGGGTATATTTTGTACAACTTGAAGCAAATACTGGCCAATCTCATGTCCGGCCAGCAAAAGAGTTGAAAATGAGTTTTCTATAATATCACCTGCTGAATCTATAATGGCTCTTTTAAAGCCTTCCATTCAATCAATTTCTGGCGTAGTTCTATAGCTTCTTCAGTCATGCCAGCCGAAGCTACCCCTTTAATTATGGTGGAATAAACAGTCTCTTCAGGCCTGTAACGACTTGAGATCATCAATTCTAGGACTTGGATTGCAATATCTATCTTGTTTTTCTTACATAATGAATGGATCATGAACCTGTAAGCACTATTTTTAATCCTGTGCTTTCTCTTAGTCATCACCTTCAATATTTCCACAGCATCCTCGACTAGATCTGCCCGGAAGAACCCCCAAATTAAGCATCGGTGTGTAATATCATCGGGAATAATCCCATGCTCTTTCATATGACAATACAATTCCACTGCTTTCTCCATGTAACCCTCCTTTGCCAATCCATCAATTACAATATTGAAAGTAATCAAACTAGGCGAGCAGCTGGTGCCACCTAGATACAGAAGAATTTGGAGGGCCTCACCTGTCATTCCCTCTTTACAAAGAGCACGTAAGAGTGTGTTATAAGTGATAATGTCTGGAGAACAGTTTTGGGAAACCATTTGACCAAAGAAATCAATGGCACGATCTAAAAGCCCATATTTACACAAACCATTTATCAAAATGTTGTAAGTGACAACTGTAGGAGGATGGGAAGTTCTGTTCATAAAAGCAAAGATCTCATCCACCCCATCCCAACAACCATTACTAGATAGAGAATGGAGAAGAGTGTTGTATGTTACGGCATTGGGCTCCATTCCTTGTGATAGAAGATCATATATAACCAACACTGTGTCTTCCACGTTTCCTTGTTTACATGTAAAACTAATCATTGAGTTGTAGGTCACGAGATCAGGATAACAGCCCTCAACTGCCAAATCTTGCATTACTTCTATAGCCTGAACAATCCCACAGTGCTTGCAGACTAGCTCAATGAGAATTGTGTAGGTTATTACATAAGGTGGGCATCCCTTTCTCAGCTGATCTTCCCAGAATCCAATGGCCTGATCAAACCTCCCAAGATCAAACATGACGCGTATTATCGTGTTATAAGTAATCACATCCGGGGGCAACCACTCAAGCTCATGTCCTCCAAGACATCAATGGCAGATTTTAACTGTCCCTTTTTACACAGACCACCAATCAACATGTTGTAAGTTATAGTATCTGGAATTCCACCAGACATAACCATAACTTTTAGGACTTTTGCAGCTCTGTCTATCCGGTCAATCTTGACAAGGCCCCTAATCAAGTTTATGCAAGAAGGGAAATGGGGAATTTGGTTTCTACGAGCCATCACTTCTATCAACTTTGACGCATCGACTAGCTTCCCATAACTGCAAAAGCTTTTAAGAAAATCATTATTAGTTTCCTCACCATTCTCAACAAAAGGGCCGTCTATAGACAATGTTGAGGGACTAGAATGTTTTTTTAAAAAAATTTGCTCTTTAAGTTTCTTATCTACATCCTTTACGTATCCATCTGAGCTCCATTCACCTTGTGCACCCTCATTAACTTTATCTAGGGAAAGACCTCTCTGCTGGCCTCTAAATCGTAACAAAGATCTATTTCTTCCTTCATTATCAACTTCCCTCCACTTTAGACAAAATTGAGTTTTGCAATTACCCTTGGTTAAGCAGCTGAAGTGAATTGATGATGCTTTTGCCATCGCATTAGCGCTATAACCGGAAATAAGTTCCATTTGGCAGCAATTCAAATGTAGTCCATGCAAAGAAGGAACCTCGATCATCGATTTCGGTGGGATAACTGTAGAACCCATTTTTTCTTCACTCTAGTCAACAACATAACAAAGCCTTTATCCCGTCCATTTCTTTCCCCCTAATGGACAGCAAAAGTTTAGAAAGAGGTTAATAACCTCGGTTTCAACAATCAAATGCACAACCAGAAAATTCTTCAGTTTTCCCTGATTCAAACAAGCACAACCAGAAATTGATATCTCGCAAAAAATGTCAATTGCACAATTACTTCTAAGATGGTTGTCCAACCAAACCTCAATATTGCCCATGAAAATTCTTCAGTTTTCCCTTCCCTTTACCAGAAAATTGCATATGTTCAAAAACAGGATCATTTAGTATTCTGTCAATCAGACAATAAATAATTCTAAAACAATTCAACCTCGAAATTAGCAAATTCAAGCACCCAAATCAAAAAAAAAAATTGAAATATAACGCAGCACCAAAACCGAAGTTCAAAATTTTAAGCTAGAACCTAGAGAAAATATAATTTAAACGCAAGGAACATTTTGGAAACCTAAAGCTAACCAGTTAACAGAATTCAATTCAGAACAAATTGTAGTACTTAAGGCAGAGAAAGGGAAACGAGAGTTTCATCTCCCAAAACCCCACAAAGCCATGGACCACCCAGCTCACCAAATTAACTCAGAACCATATCTAATTTAGATTTCACGAAATTAACAACGCAGTCCACAAAATTGTAATTAGAACATTTCCTCGAGAAATACAAATTTCTTGGACATAATTGAAGAAAGTAAATCATAAGCGGGAATGTATACCTGTGTGTGTGTGTGTTTTTATGCAAAGAGTTCCGGGTAAACAAAATGTAAGACCAAACACAATTGAGAAACAATCAATGTAACGACTTTAATTCAAAAAAAGTTCAATCAAATTTAAATAAAAAGAAAAAGAAAAAGAAAAAATACCATATAGAGAGAGCGAGAGTGCAAACTTCAAGCAACCAAAAAAATTCCACAAACTATTAAATCTACCAACCAAAAAACACTCCAGAAACTATGAAATCTACCATTCTTTCACTTCGATTCTGAATGAAATCCTCAATAAAAAGAAACACAAAAGTAAACCATCAGCATGGGGCAAGAAATAGAAGGAAACAGACGGGAAACTTACCGAGAGCTGATTAACATAACCTAGGTAGACACAAAAACCCTACAGACAGTTGTGTTCTTGATAGTTTTTGCTTTGTATACTTTGCAGACAACGTTGTTGAGTTTGTTTCATTTGTTGAACTAACACCAGCGGAAGTTAATAACTAGGCTGAAATTAGGTTAAGGTGCAGGAGCTCCTACTATTGAAAGTATTTTGGGGGACATTTTGCGCTAACGACGATGCTAGTCCCCGATTAAAATTGTGAAAATTGATTGGAAATCCAGTTAGAGGAGCTAGGCGTCTTTAAATATCTTCTTAACCGCATATTTTGACCTTACTCGATTCTATCCGATTTGATTGACCGACTATCGCATAAAATTAGATACCTCAATAGAAGAATTGTTGGTATTTTATAAAAAATTAAATAAAAATATGCAAAATCCACAAAGTTTCTGTATCCCTATATTACCCGCATATTTTTTTAAATTTTTTAATATTTTTTTAATATATATATATATATATGCATGTTAATGTGTACACAAAAACCCTAAAATCTCTAGCGCCTTCTCCGTTTTCTCAAACTCTCGTCTGTCGCATTTCTGTTTCTCTCAACTCTCACCCCTATTTTCTTGATCGATCGCCTCCTCAGAGACTCGAGTCTCAAAGACTCTCGCCCCTCTTTACCTCTCTAGTCTCCGTCAATCAAAGTCGAATCCACAAGCTGGTGAAGCTACAAGCATCAATTGCCAGTGCCTCTCTCTGCTTCTCTCTCCATCGAATCTTTGTACCTGTTTCTGCTTCTTAGTCAATCGATCCCCTAGCCTCCTCTTCGAGTCTTAGAGACTCTTGTCGCCTCCTCTTTGAATCCACAAACAAGCTTTGGGCAAGCTTCGAAACCAACCACAAAAACGAAAAACGAGCAAATTTTAGGGTTTTGATTTAGAATAGGGTTTTGTGAGCTATTCGTTTTGATTTCAAGGGGTTGTTTTAAAGAGTGTCAAAATATAAAATAAATTTTTGGATAAATTACATTGAGACCCCTTGAGGTTTGTCACTTAATCATCTAGACCCCCAAGGTTTGAGATATTACACCTAGACCCCCTGAAGTTTATGCACATGTAACACATAACCCCCACCACCATTCTCCGTTACTGTGTGTCGTTATAACTTCATGACATCATCCTAACATATAAAATTAATTTTCCAATCTACCCTTTATATGGAGCCCACTAGCACCAAGTCATGTTGCCTAGCGAACTTCCCATTTTATTACCGTTGGAGCATTGTCTATAAAGACTAGTGCTACCAAATTTATTTTTTAATTTTATTTATTTACAAAAAAATTGATTTTTTTTTAAGAAATAAAGAATTTTATTTCATGAATTTCAAAGGATTACAAGAATCAAAAGTGGCTTTAATCCTTCAAAACAAAACAAGAATACAAGGTTTCTTACAATCCAATACAGTACCATCAGACCCACTATGGTAGAAGCCTGCAAACATTTTCATCCTTCTCACCACTTGCAACCAAAATTTACAAGAAGCAAAACCCAGGCAAAAACACCTAGCAGAAACACAACCAAAAACAGTCTGTCTGCTATACCATTGACCTCTCTAAAAATATGCATTAGTTGAAAATTCATATTCTGCAATAAGTCCAAAACCTGATCCAGCAACCTTGGATAACGCCAAAGTAGTGCTGCCATATTAGATGCCACTCTGCATATCAAAGAGATTCTATAAAACAAACTCAACAAAACACTAAGCAATATTTTCTATTTATCATCCAAATATTACTGAAAGTGTTCATAATACAAATTCTGTCGACTAAACATAATTTACATTTACATCAACTACACAGGCATCCAAATATGCAGGGAGCCAAAAATATATGCAAGCATCCAAAAAAATAGGCCTTTCACGGAAGCACCTTCAATAAACCATACAAAAGATAAACTACCAACAAAAGCCCCTGCCTACTCAAATTAAACCATGCCAACAACAAAAGCAATTTTCCCAGCTAGAAACATATGCACAGAAAATCAGAATATTGCATGTTCAGACTCCGCTGCCACTTCAGTTGTAGCAGGTTCATTGCCTCTGCTACTCCTTTCTTGAGTGACAGTCTCTGTTACTCTAGTCCTTGAAGACATAATTTTTTCTTTCCTTGTCCCTGAAAAATGTATTAGTAATGTGAACATATTTGCTTTTATTAAAGAAAGGTTGTGCTATTTGAACAATAATTGAACCATTATGTATTCCTCAAAACGATCTGAACTAAAAGAATTATGCATACTTCTACCGCAATGTTACTTAAATCATAGTTCCCCGAACCTAAAATGAAATTCCATACTCATCCATTACCTTTCTTTCAACTTCGGGTCATGAATCTTGGGGCATGGTCCTGATGCAAAGCAACACAACACAAAAGTATTGTCAGGGAAAAAAAAATTAAGTTAAATTGAAGGTTTTGCAAATTTCACCAACTATACCGAGCTAGAACAACTAATGGGCTGCACCAAACCACAATTCTATTTTATCTTAGCTTCTCCTATGCTTCCTCATCAACCAATCAAAGAATCTAAGCAAATTTAATTCGATAAAAGAAACGCACCTAGGTCACTCGGGTGTTCACGAAGAGATCTTGCGGACAAAATCGAACCATATAGAATCCACAAACCTCCTTATCATCCCAATTGACTTCCTTGTACCCTTTTTTCTCTCCTTCAGTTAGATTTCAGGCTATACATAAACAAACGAATGAAGCACAAAAAACAAGCAACAAAACAATTAAATCAGATCAAATTCAAACAACCAAGTCAGATACAAATGGGGATTTTTGAGCCACAAAATCAAAGAGTATTCCAAGAAAATAGTCAAACTCCCAAAAATAAAGGATGAAATAGAACAAATATTTCAGAAAAAAAAACCCCATGTAGAACAACCCACATCTGATTAATACAGAGATTTTTAAAATCCAAAAAAAAAAAAAATGATTTGATATGCTTTAAAAAAAAGCCCTAATCAATATAGATTCCTAATCAGTAAAACCAAAACCGAAAAAAAAATCAATTTTTTTCTAACACAAAGTCTTAATCAATATAAAATTTTCAAAAAAATCGAAACCTCTTCACTATAGATTTTTTTTTTTTTTTTTTGAGTGAACACTACAGATTTCTCAAAAACCCATTTGTATTCTAAAACCATTTGCATTGTGAGCCATAACCATTTGTATTCTACTTATGGAGTGTACAATAGTAAAACAAAAAAGGAAAAAAAAAATCTTATTTGTTTGAAGAAACCCTAGTTTTTCCTAAGAAAATCCTAATCAAAATGTGTACCTTTCACACCTGGAGGAGAACAAACTCTATAGGAAGCCGGAGTTGATCTTCAGATGGCCCAAAGCTTTCTTCATCTAGAAGAGAGCGAACGATGTAATGTGAACTTACTCTCAAGGCGCTATAGACACTAGGAAACGACTAAAAGGCGGGAATGATTATATACTCAACCTTAGGGGCATTTAGGTCTTTTGATTAGTTTCGTTGCATCCGTCAGTTAGTCGTCAACCTTAGGGGTCTAGGTGTAATATGTCAAACCTCAGGAGGTCTAGATGATTAAGTGACAAACCTCAAGGGGTCTCAATGTAATTTATCCTAAATTTTTTGTGATTATGAAGTAATCATGGATCATAATATAGAACAATTTTATAGTGTAGATTCAATTTTGCTGCATTGTTGCTAGAGTGAATATGGTTGTGATTACTTCAAATCTGATTCTCAAATCCTTGTGGATCTGATCAACTTAGGAGTAATGAAAGCTTGGAAATTATAGACTTTATCTAATCTCATCTTTTCTCTTCTCCAAAAATTTAAATTCAACATAGTTCATGCCTACAAGGAAGGTAACTTAGTGGCTAACTCTTTGGCAAATAAAGGGGTGGAGGATAGAATCTCTTTGACTTATTCTTCTATCGAGCAACTTCCTTTTTTTGTCAAACTCCTATTACTACATGATATTCGACAGCTCAGAGTCCTTAGGGCCCGTTTGGTTAGAAAGAAAAAGACGATAGAAAGGAAAAGTGATAGAAAGTAAATTGAAAGAAAGGAAAGTGGAAAAAAATATATTTTCTTATATGTGTTTGATTAGAATGAAAATGTTGTAAGAAAGTTTTAAGAAAATTTCATTCTCTAGTTTGGAAAGCAAGAAAGTTACAAGAAATTTTATTTAATTGTCTGAATTAAATAAAAGTGTCTCACTTGTGTATAATTATTCAAAAGTGGTTCTATCCATATGGTTACAAGAAATAAAATTGAAAATAAATTTTCTCTTCGTTGCTTTCACATAAATTATTTTTCATTACAAATTAATTTATCATCCTTTATTTTTTTTCAAGTTAAAATTCAGCTCACCAAGCTTATAACACCGCATTTGTAAAAAAAATAGATTTATATCACCCTAAAAAAAAATATACGAGTTCATTGAATTGGTCTAATTTTTTATTGACATTGCAAGGCACAATTTGAGTTCCCCATATAGCCCAATGCCAATTATTAAGTCCATAAATTAATATAACTATATTGTGAAGCCTGGGAAAAATTTAAACTTTTGAAAACAAGGGCAAAATGGTAATTTTGCCGCTACAGTACGGGTCAAAAATCTGAAATTTTTTAAAACTCGGATGACGAAACGGACTTCACCGTTGGATTCGTCTCGTGAAATTTAGTTACCCTGTCAAATTTCATCGAATTTCGAGATAGTCGGATTTTTTGCGTTTTTCGAAACGGTTGAGTCTCGAGTGACCCAAAAACGGGATTTTGGCAAAAATTTTAAAATTTGGGAAATAATTTGAGGTAATTTAAAATAAAAATATTTTAAACTTAAATCGGGACGAAATTTAATCATTTCGGGGTTAAAATGAACTAGGAAAGAATGAGATGTGTGGCGCATTGTGAGCCAAGGATTTTGGGACTATAAAAAAGGGAAGAAATCAGCCTTCTTCCCCACCATTGTCGGCTGGTCTTCACGTTAAAAGAAAAGAGAGAGCAAGAGAGGGAAAAAGAAGAGAAACTCACCTTCTCTCTACGATCTACGGCGCTACAGTGCTCGAATCGACACAAACCAAGAATTAAAGTCCATCTACGCGACGAGGGCTACGCGTGGGTATCAGAAACAACGATTTTCATCGAAGATTCAAAGACAAATTTTAGAAAATCAAGAACTTGGGGCTTGTTTTGTGTTTTTTAAGTTTCCACACTTCAAAGAGGTAGGGGTTTTCCTACCTTGGTTCATTTCCTACCTATAGTGTATGTGAAATGTGTAGGTTATTAAAGAGTATATATATATATATATATATATATACATCACTCACCTATGTATGTGAAATAGATAAAATGAGAATGAAAAAGGGTGTAGAAATGACTTAGGTCAATTTCTAGTTGTATGTAATATGTGGAAATCACTTGTGAAATCCCTTGAAAATTGAATGTGTTAGTAGCATGAGCTATGTATAACATGTGTGTTGTGAAATGTGATTAAATAGCAAATGTTATTTTAAGCCTTGAGGAAGTAGGTGTAGAATGGGTTTGATTCAAATCCTACTTTGTTTTGCTATGTGGAAGTACTTGTGTAATTTCTTGGATGGAAGTTGTGTGTGCTTTAATATGTAGTAAAGTGAGTGTGTTTAACTCATACATCAGTGTGTGTGTGTGTGTTCTTGCTTGTTGGAAACCTAAAGTGAGGGAGATTAAAAGAGAAGAAAGAAAAATCAAGTTTTAGCTCACATTTGATATGTGGAAGCTATTAGTGTAAACTCTTGGGAAATTGGGTTTACATGAATTATTTTGTGTATTTTAAAATTTTCCTATAGTTGGTTAGATGGAAAAATGGTAGGCATATGAAACTATGTAATTCACTTGCCTATGGTTATGGAGTTGGTGTGGAAAAGATATAATCAATTTCTAGTTTGAAATTGATGATTTAGTTAAAAAGGGTATTGAGGATGGGTGACATGACTTGAGATAAATTATCTTATTTGATGCACCATTAGTGTATGTTAAGTATGGGAAAAGGGTGCCTAAATGTGCTAAATAAATCTTGTAAGAAAGGATTTGCAATGGATATAGAAATTGGGTGAAGAAAAGCCGGTACACTTTTCTGCTCCGGACTAGTTATCGTAGAATCGTCATAACTTTTGATCCAACCATTGGATTGAGCTGATATTTTGACACAATATAGAAGACATCTAGATATACAACTTTTGTGTTTTGAACTGTTCCATATTTTGAGTGGATCAGGGTAAAAATGGAGAAAAACAGAGATACTTCCACTAGAGGGAGCTAGTGCTGGTGCCTTTGTTACCAAACACCAATACCTCTTTAATTTCTTAACTTCTAAGCCTCCAAATCCTCATGTAATGTGGAAAAGTAAAATTACATGCTTATGATGTGATTTACAATTGTAATGTTATGTTGATGTATGCTTAACGATATGTTAGCATTATGATGATCATGGAATTTATATGTTAGGATATAATTGATCATGGGATATGTTGAAATTGTTCATATGACATTCATTACATATTGAACATGACAGTAGTTTGAAATGATGCATTACATTGCATATGTACGGGGTAAACACATCCATAATCATGAGCATGGGTTTGTGGTTGCATGGTTGGTCAATCATCATCCTTGGTGGTTGGTGGTGGGCTTGGAAAAGTAGGATGGAACAGTCTATTGAGTCGCACGGTTACATGCATAAGAAAACTTGTGTCGGGTATAGCAAGTAGGGCTAGACACTCCCTCGGGTGAAAAACCCAACCACTTGGTTCATACACTTACCGGTAGTAAAATTTCAGAAAAGTGTAACGGCGTATGGAGCCGGAGGTGCGATTCTTAAATCCAATACCTAATAAAGGCACATGATTTTAATATATAAATTATTCATTTGATGGAAAACATCCAAGAATGAATTAGTTTTATGACATATGTTTAAATTCAAAATGATCTTTGGATGTGTTTCATCAAAGATGTTTGTTTTACACAGATGCATCGGATTGTGTTGTGGGGTTGATGTGGGCTCGGGATAGCATGCGTGAGTGAGTTTCGTTTCATTACTTGGCATGACATTATGAGATTCTATCTTGAATAACATATTCTTATTTGGAATGGAAGAAGTTGTTTGTGGCATGTGCGCATTGCATACGCATTTTAGGTGGGGAGTAGCCTCTGTAGGAGTTTTTCTACTGAGCGTTGGCTCACCCTATGCGGGAAACATTTCAAGTGCAGGGTGCGTACCGGCGGAGGACTCTCATTCAGGGCTTCAAGGGTGAAGAGGGGCCAACATGTGGCCTTTAACCATGATTGTTTTGTAAACTTTTGTTCAAACTATGTATTGACATGTAATATTTGTAAAGGAATTATAATTTTGAACTTGTATTAACTATGTTTAATGCATAAACTTATGATGTGAAAGTATGGATAATTCGACCCGGTGTGGTCAACATTTGTATATGGGACCTCAGATGGGTCATGTGATGGTACAGTTCACAGGTTGTGTTTTGGGTAGAGTTTTCCCGTACAAAAGAGACTCTGCCCGATTTTGTTAAATTATGATTCCCGATAAATGGGACACAACGGTGTGATATCGAGTTATACGATATCCACAGACATTTTGCGGTTTGATGGGCGATCAACGGGACCCCCGAATTTTGGGATGTCACATATATACTCTAAATAGTTTGCCAAGAGGGAGCACATCTGTTTATTCTAATAGATAAGAGAAGGAGCACACGCCTTAGAACCATAGAACCAAATTATTAAACAAAAAGTGGAAAAACAATGCAGTAGATTTCAATAACAAATATTCCCTTAAATGACCTAATAATACTTAACACACAAAAGTAGTAACCAAAATCCCACCAAACATAAATTATGTCAAAATTATTAAAATAACATGCAATGTTATTCGACCACACTATAGAACTAAGTCCAAGGAACTTATAATCCTCTAACCGAAAATGCATGCATCATCGTCACCACTTAACCTTTAATTTATTGCATCGAGCCTCTTTGTGATAGTTGTCAAATTAAAAATAAATAGCGCATTTCTTCATGATAGATAAAAAATGCTCTCGCTTTGGCAGAATCTGCGTTCAAGTACTCAAAAGCGATCATTCGACTATCAATATCTAGTGCTTCAACATCCATGACAACTTTGTAAAGGTCTGAATAATTTATGCAAGGCTTACTCTTCTCGTATGCATAAGCTAGTTTTGCCATGTTATTTGCAACAACATTTATTGTTTCGACAACTATCTTTGCATTTTTCGGCTTTTTTGAATGACATCTCATAGGCTTTAAAGATCCATGGTTGTGATTGCATTGAGCATGTATTGGCATTTTCTTCTTGATGTGCAAATCCATTACCTTCTATACCACCCAAGTCATCGACTATCGTATTCTCATTAAGATCAAATATCGGTGTGTACTCATCGTCACTATCATTCATTTGTCTTGACGAGTTTGCATTTATATCTTTACCTAAACATGCCCATTCTCCAGTTGCTTGATCATTGCTAAACACAATTGCTAATTCATCAATCATATCAATCTTCTTACCACACAATCCTTTTGCATTTGGATTTGCCTACAAAAATATATCAAACATAATAGTTAGGCATATTTTGATAAATTGCTTTCATTTTTTTTTCATTACAAAATGTAACGTTTAGAATTCATTATTATTTAAAATGATACTTACAACAACATATGTAGCCTAGACTTGATCACTACACTCAACCAGTTTTGCCACTAGATTCCAAGCAAATCCACTTTTGCTCAACATATCTTGTATAAATCTAAACTTTTTCTTCATGGTTTTTAATCAACTAACACAATTCTCTCGACTCAGTGAAAGGTTAAAACTAACATTTATAGCTGACAAAGTTGCAATATAAGCTTGATATTAAAAGTCATTATCTACTTTATAACCTTCATTAGCTTGATGTACCAATTCCAGAATGAGAAATCAATCCATCTCCTTAGACTACACTACATTTTTTCCTTTTTTCTTCCCATCTCCTGCGAGGGATTGAGACTCATCTTGCTCTATTCCTAAAAAGCTCAAAAGTGAATATAATAACAATTGAAATAAGAAACATAATCATTATAAAATAAAAAACATGCAGAAATGAAAGGCAAACCATATCAAAAACAATATAGTATTTATTTAACCATTACCCTAATAAAGTGACATACAATACCATTTTCATGTATCTAAAAACATCAAAGTACGTTATGAGCAAGCATCTAACTACCATTTATTACAAAAATCATTCCACATCTCGTTCATAATTTGTGTTCAAATCCTTTTTCCTTTCCTTTCATCTTGAGCCCTTTTTAATTGTGTGTCAACATCATCATGGGTTGTGGTTGGTTGATTTTGCATCTCTCGATCAACATCAGCTAAAAGTGGATCATTTGGCATCACTCATCGAATATGATTATGCACAATGCAATAGACAATTACTATCTTCATCTAAGTTGTATACCTAAACATTGGTTCATCCACTAAGATTCTAAATCATTTTTTTAATAATCCAAAGGCTCTCTTAATTGCATTTCATAAAGACGAATGTCTATAGTTAAACAACTCTTTTGTTGTGGTTGGTACACGCCCTCTTATTTCATTTAAATGATATCTAGTACTTCGGAATGGGGTAATGTAATGCTTTAACAATGGAAATCCCGCATCTACAAGATAGAATTTGCCTACATAAGATAGAACTTATTAAAGTTGTTTTAATCCATTTCAAAAGAATTTATCCATATTGCTAAAGTACATAATTACCTGGAGGACATGTAATCTCATGCTCAAGACTAATAGCACAACCTAATATTCAAGAATCAGATGTTGAGGCTTCCCAACCAGCTAAGACATAGGTAAATCTTAAATCTAGCATACAAGCAGCTAATACATTTTGGGAAGGCCATTATTTTCTACCACGAAATCGTGCAACATATTCGGCTGAAACTTTCATAGGAAGATGTGTACCATCAATTGCTCCCTCACAATCCTACTTGCATCAATAACAAATTAGAAATTCGTGGAAACAATACTGTAAATATATTAAAAAGTGTTGTTTTAAGAATATTTTACCTTAAAATATAGCCACATCCTATGATTTTCGTGTATCTCTATAGGTGTCTCCATTTGAGAAGTAGGTTGCTTTAAAAAGTCATCTTCCATGCCTATTATAGCATTTAAGAGTATGTGGAAGTATCGAGATATGGTTTCACCAGACCTCTTAAAGTGACATTTTGCACTTCGATTCTTGAGATTGTGATATTATATACATAAATATTGTTAATTGTTCTTCAACACTATAGTATACGGTATCCTTTAGCCTTTCAGTACCTTTAAGTATGTATACAAATCTTTGGAAAGCCTCCACATTCATTCTTAACAGATTATGACAATGTTCATCAATTTGTGTCACGTTCAAGACAAATTGACATTTTGTCAGATAACAATTGCGTTCTGCCTTCTCATCATATTGTTCCAAGTAATAAACACTATACATAACAGTCATGACACCAACAAATTGTGCATAAAGAAGAAAAATATCTTCATCATCATCATCATTGTTATCCATCTTCAAGATCGAATATTAAGAACATTGCAAATAAGAACACAATATCAAAGTTGAAGGGCAATAATATGTACATGCACACAAACATGCTAGTTGAAACATTCTATCAAACACCTACTCTACCTCATCTATATGATCATTGAATCATAATCAAATAAAACATTTAACCTAAAAATCAACAAAGAAAAACATAGAGAAAAGGGAAAAAATAGTGCTGCCACAGAAGAAATGCAGTAAGTACACAAGACTAAAACAAATTGAAGATCCAAAAAATTAACACTCCGAAGTGTATAGACTGATACAAATTACTGGGCTTTTTTTTTTGTCTAGTACAAATTTATGGGTATTGTTACTTACAATATGTAGCAATTCTAGTACATAGAGCAATTGAGGATGGAAGAAAAACTTACATATTAGTTGGTTAAGTGTGATACAAAAAAAAAAAAAAAAAGTTGGCTGAGAAGATGTGTAGAGATTGATCAACAAAGAAAAACATAGAGAAAAGGGGAAAAAATGGTGTTGCCACAGAAGAAATGCAGTAAGTACACAAGATTAAAACAAATTAAAGATCCAAAAAATTAACACTCCGAAGTGTATAGACTAATACAAATTACTGGGCTTTTTTTTTTTGTCTAGTACAAATTTATGGGTATTGTTACCTACAATATGTAGCAATTCTAGTACACAGAGCAATTGAGGATGGAAGAAAAACTTACATATTAGTTGGTTGAGTGTGATACAAAAAAAAAAGTTGGCTGAGAAGATGTGCAGAGATTGAAGAGGCAATCGACTGAGAAGATGAGTACTGAGAGGCAGACTTCCTTGACGAGTTATGTGACATCATTAAAACTGGGGATTTTTTGTCAACTCGTTGATTACCCATCAATACGCATAATACTCGTGTAACTCGATACCATGTCGTTATGCCTCATTTATTGGGATCCATAACTTAACAAAATTTGGAAAGAGTCACCCTTGTACAGGGAGCTCTACCCAAAATACAAACATGTGCAATCATATAACATTGACCACACCAAGTTTATTTATCCATATTCATATAACAACATGCAATTTTAAATTAAACATACTCCATAGGAGTTTGATTACAATCCTTTACATACATTACATGCTAAAAAATTAATTTACATCTTAGTTTTACAAAAACATAGTTTAAAAGTCACAGTTCAGCTTTTCTTCATCAATGAGGGTTCGAATGAGAGCCATCCACTAGCGCATGTCCGGCACCTGAAATATTGTCCTCATAAAGGATGAGTTACGCTCAATAGGGTATTTCCTAAAGAGGCTACTCCCCAACCTAGATGCATATAAAATATTCGCAAGCAATTCAGAAGCAACAATTTCTACATTCAAGAATATGCAATTCAACAATGGAATCCTCAATGTCATGTCATGATATGAGATGAAACTCACACATACAACTCAGCCCGAGCCTTTACTAGCTCCCTCAACACATGTAATGCCATGTCTATGAATCCAGACATTCCAAGCCCCCGCCATAGATGTTACACATCTAATGACCTTTTGAAAATAACCATGTGTCTTTATTGGGTATTCGGATTTTGGAATCTCACCTCTGATTTTGTACGCTGTTACACTTTTTTGGACTTGTACTATTGGAAGTGTAAAAACTAGTAACAGGGTCTTGCACCCGATGGAGTATCTACCCTTTTTTGCTATACCCGACACAAGATTTTTTTTTCATGCAACTATGCAACTCAGCTGGACCTAGGTCCAACCTTCCCGAGTCCACGCCTCTACCACCTTGAATGATGTTTGATTCAAAAACATGCACATTCATCCACACTTATGTCAAATGCTCACGAATGTGATGTTACCCGTACATATGCAATGTAAATGTACAATTTCAATTCTTAACTATGTTTAATATGTCATGAGCACATTATGAACAATTCAATACCAGACAACCTTTTTTTTCATGATAAATTACATCATAAGCATATTACCACCATCATTAACCTCAATGTCAATATATCATGTGCATATACTAACATCAACTCACAAGCATGTTATAACAAAATCAATGCTAATAACACACTTAATTCACATAAGCATTTCATCAAACACCTTCAAGGTATAAATATAATCACATAGCATGTCCAATCAATCCATTTCTCAAGAAATCACAAAAAAATAATTTCTAAATACCCAATTCATGCTAAAATTAATTTTAACTATTCTAAATACCCAAACATGTTATAACATTTTTAATGAAATCAACATGTTATATCAACATATGCATTTTATCAATCACCCTCAAGGCACCAAATCATTTAACACACAATCATGCCAAATAATCACATTTTTCATGAATTTACCAAACAAGTAAATTCTAAAAATTTAATTCATGCAAGATTGGTTTAGTATATTTTTATACCCATTTTTTAAAATCTAGTTACACTAGGAGTATATCAAACAAGAGAATTCATCTCAAGCAATGCTACCCATATCATATGGAACTCTAGGTTAAAAATAAACCTAATTAGGAAAAGAACCCTACCTCTTGAAACATAAAAATACAGTAGAAAACTCTCAAGATCCGAAATAAGCTCTAATCCTTGCTTCCTCCAAAATCTCATTTTGTGTTCTTCGTCAAAACCTTTAGGAAGGGGACCAAGAATGCCTAAGCCCCATTGCTGGAATGACCAACGATTTATTACTGACGTTAGGATCTCTGGCGGACAATGGGAGATATTGGCATACACCTGACAGACTCTACACTTTTTGATCAGGTCTGTAGCATCCTTGAGCATGGTAGGCCAATAATATCCCTGCCTCAAAACTTTTCCTACCAGAGCTCGGGCTCTGATATGGTTACCACAGATTCCTTCATGAATTTCTCTAAGTATGTAGTTAGCGTCTTTGTTTCCTATGCATTTGAGGAGAGGTGCAAAAAAGCCTCTCTTATACAAGTTCCCTTGCAAAATAAAGAATCTGGCCGACCTCGTTCTTAGCTTTGTAGCTTCCTTCAAGTCTGCTGGCAAGGTTCTATTCTGAAGATATTCTATGATGGGGTCCATCCAACTAGGTGAGGCTAGAACGAGGAGCACTTCTTTCTCCTTGGTATTTACTGACGGTTCTGCTAGATGCTCCACTAGTATCAATCTATCTAGGTTTTCCTGCAAAACAGTTTCCAGTCTTGCCAATGCATCTGCTCATGAATTCTCAGACCTAGGGACGTGCCTGATTTGAAATTGCTCAAATTTTTAATCAATTCTTGCACCTTTCTAAGGTACAGGACCTTTTTCTCGCCCTTGGCCTCATAAGATTCCTCTATTTATTTTACCACGAGCTGGGAGTCACTGTAGACCTCAAGTTGTTCTGTCTCCATTGATAACACAAGGTTTAGCCTAACAATGACTGCTTCATATTCTGCTTTATTGTTCAAAGCCTTAAACCCAAACCTTAGAGCGTGCTCGACGTCTATTCCATCTGGGAAAGTCAGAATCAGACCAGCACCGCTCCCTTGAGCGTCTATGGCTCCATCTACAGAAAGCTTCCACACCGGGAGGTCGGGAACCAGCTGTGTTGCCTCCGTAGGTGCTTCTGACTTGAATTCTACAATGAAATCTGTTAGAATTTGCCCTTTGATCGCTGTCCTCAGCTTGTATCTGATATCGAACTCACTGAGCTCAATGACCTATTTAACCAACCTCCCAGAGGATTTCGATTTATGCAACACCTGTTTCATTGGTTGATCTGTTGGGACCTCAATAGTATGGACCTGAAAGTACGGTCTAAGTCTTCTTGTGGTCGTAACCAAGGCCAAGACTAGTTTCTCCATCTTTGGGTATCTTTCCTCCACTCCCTCAGAGCTCTGCTGCAGTAGTAGACTGACTACTGAGCTCTATCTATCTCCCTCACTAGTGTTGCACTGGTTGAGAAATTCGAAACTACAAGGCATAGAGTGAGTACCTCTCCTTCCAATAGACTTACTAGGATAAGGGTGAGCTCAGATAATTATTCAAGTCTTTGAATGCTTCTTTACATCGAGTATCCCATTGGAAAACCTTCTTTTAAGACTTGAAAGAAAAGTTGACATTTGTCACTTGACCTAGACACGAAGCGCCTCAGTGCAGCTATCCTCCCTATTAGTCGTTATACTTCCCTTGTGTTGGAAGGTGGTTGCATATCCATTACTACTTAACCTTTTCTAAATTAGTTTCAATCCCTCTGATGTTAACTATGAAGCCTAGAAATTTACCAGTAGAGACTCCAAAGGCACATTTAGCGGGGTTAAGCTTCATCTTGTATTCTTTAAGGATCTAGAATGATTCTGCTAGGTGTTCGATATGGAGCTCTACCTTCAATGATTTTACCAGCATATCATCGATGTAGACCTCCATGGTCGTCCCAATCTTCTTTTGAAACATTCGATTCACCAGTCATTGGTAAAGTGGCCCTAACATTTTTCAATTCGAAAGACATAACTTGGTAGCAGTACGTTCCTTGCTCTGTTACAAAGGAGGTCTTCTCTTGGTCATTAAGATCCATCATAATCTGGTTGTACCCACAGAAGGCG